AGCTTAGCAACGATGTCAATAGAACAAGAATTACTTTCAAATCTCAATGCAGACCCACAATTTTACGACCAAATAATAGATAAATTTGCAAACTTAAAAGATAGATGTATAGATTTAATTTACAAAAAGTAGCTATATATAGCTACTAGAGCTATATATAGCTACTAGATTTACTTTACAAAAAGTAGCTATATATAGCTATAGTATTTTATATTTTTTAATACTTAGGTAGGGGTCGACTATGGCAGAAACGCAGTGGAAATATGTAGGCAAAAGCACTGGACGCTCTTCCAGTTCCTTGATACAGGTACGCAGTAACAACAAAACTTCAAAAGGACAGTACGGAACACTATAATTTTAAAACCATGTACCAAAATAAAACACAAAGAATTCTAATCAAAAATGCAAATAAATACGTAGCATATAAAAACCCTAAAATAAATATATTACCATTAAAAGGTTTGTACACCCTTTACGAACAAATACGAACACAGACAAGTAATTTAACCATACGATTATAAGAAAATCTTACCTTCAGTGACAACGAAGGGTTATTCAAAATAAATACAATTCTTGTAGGCTCGTTGGATTATTGGCAGCAAAGAGTGATTTTCTATCCCAAAAAAAATTGGCTAGATTTCTTGATAACCAAAATAACTATTACAAAGTACCAGAAATCACTTGTAAAACCATTCATCTAATTTCCCCAGAAGGATGGGTAATTTTACCACAAATATTTAAAGATGAAAGTTTTTGTAAATCAAACCCCTAAGCTTAACCAACCACTTCTTGAACCGGAAATCGAGTGAGTGTCACCGCAATTAAAGTGGCTCTTCTTTTTTTTTAAGAAAATTTTTGGCGCATTATTTAAACTGCCAATGATAACACTTGAAGGAATACACTGTGAAAACCCAACAAAGCCAACGGAGAATTCAATTTATTTAAATTACCAATCTTAAAGTTAAATATAGTACAATAAAATAACACTATCATTAAATTATTATTAAGAAATAAAGAAATAAATAGCATGACTAATCCCCTTTACTTTATTTTGAATATTCAAAATCACGTTGGCACCACTGCAAAGTGGGGTTACCAACCGAACAGCTGATCAAAGTAGCGTTGGGTCATACGACTCTTTTTAGTGAGCGTGCTCATTTCGTTCAGCTCACTTAAGTGAGTCGTTCACACTGAGCCGTTTATTTGAACGATTATATATTATATCTAATCGTTCAAATAAATAATTATAATTATACCATAAAATAAATAACCCAAGCAGCAAAGAATGACACATTTTGGGCAATGTGTCGACACAGCGTCGAAACATGATTTTGGACACGACACATTTTAAAGACACAAAGTCCACTTTAAGACAGCTAAGTGTGGAAAAAGAGACCAAAGTGGTGATGAAAGTTGTACCAAAAAGTGTCCATAGTTTGCCCACAAAATGTGCCCGATTTTTTCTTAAACTTTGCCCACAAAGTGCCCGGTAGTGTGACCAATTTATGCCCAAAGAGTTTCTAATTTGTATGTTACCAAATGGTCACCATTTGTTCCGAATTGTTGCCAAAGTACTGTATTGTGTCCTAAAATAAACCCAAATGGACACTAACTATTTTTAATTGGAAACGAATTGGAAACAAACTAGATACAAAGAGGCAAAGTAAGGCGTGATGTCTTATTAATAATTATGTATAATATAATATTATGAAATACATTATAACTTAAATCTAACATTTTTGGTATATGTTACCTTCATTTTTATTGCGAACAAAATTTTATTGGTGGTTATAAGCAAAATACTTTTAAAAATTGATGGGGCCTCACAAATAATAAGTATTTATAATTTTTTTTTGATTAAAAATATTTTTTTTTTTCTATATTTTTATCAAAACTAGACGTATGTGCCTTCTATGTAACTTAAAACATTGCATTTTTTAAATTTTAAGTTTAAATTTCACCAGAAAGTTAAATTATGTAAAAAATATTCACATTTGCCATTTTTTCTTAAAGCGTCGAATCTGTTTCAACAAAAAAATATGGCGAATGTGTCCCTTTGAAACCTAATGCGCCCGCCCCACACATTTTTGAAACAAATCAGACACCATGAATCTAAAATGCAGCTAAATGGAAACTTTTGCGTCCACTTGACTCAATTTGGTAATAAAATGGAAACAGATTGATAAGGTACAATATGGAAACATTGAGTCGACTAAGTGTCGACCCTAATGAGTCCAAATTGTGTTACTGTTTCCAAGAGGGCACAAAAGCGACTCAACTTGGGCACATATTTCTGAAATAATGCTACTTAGACCCATACTTTTTTTGGACACAATTGGTTTAAAAGGTGTCGACCCAAAGCAACCACAAATTTGAAGAATGGACACAGTTTCCATTTAGACATAAGTTTTCCGATTTGTGTCGAAACAATTTGGAAACAAAAAGTGTCGTGCCCAAGTTTGGGCACAAATTGCTGCTTGGGAACAAACATTAAATAAGCATACTGGGGATTTTAAAATAGCTGAATTAGTATTGCAGATATATTTATACAGGGTGAAGTTTATAAATATATTCTCCAAATTTTTGTTTACTCAAACAAAAATAAATTGACTAGCATTAAGTTTAAAATTCATAGGGAGTAATCTATTTAACTTCAATAAGCAGTGCACTAGTAATAGGGAAATGTGGCGGCGGCCTATTTTACATTTTTAACTGTTAGGTGAGCGCCGCTCACTGAGCGACTCGGCTCTGCTAAATGAATCGTTCGAATTGCGCCTGGCGAGCAATGGCGATTCGAACGAGTCATTTAGCAGAGCTGAGTCGTTCGTTCAGCGCTCACTTAACTGAGCCGTACGTTTTGAACGACTCATTCATGAACGACCCATCACTAGATCAAAGTCACTATCTTGACAGTAAAAGTAAACATTCACTTAAATATGCAAAAATATCTAAGTTCCACTGAAAATATGGTATGAAGAGGTACGAATTATGCAAGGTTTTCTTAAAACACAGACCTATTAAAGAAACGTATACAAAATAAAGACAATTTAAAACAAAAATCCTAAAAATTTAAGTTAGGCGAAATTTGCACGTTACAACCACATCACTCAAGTATTTCTTGGAAGTGGTAGTAGTAGTAAAGTGTGTATACTAGTTTTTGCAACTGTTGGGCAATAAAATCGTTCGTGCGCGCATGATAGATCGTTCTTTCATGTCCAAACGATTTATCGTGCGCGAACGTTCTCTAGAGAATTTTGAGCAAGATTCTGGCCAATCGGCGCGTTTCATCCGCGTGACCGCGTGTATTGCACATAATACAGCCCTGGTAATATCTTCAAATAGTTAACAAACATGCAAAAACTACTGTCGGCAACGGTATCAGAAACCGCCGGTCTCTTTTGTGGCGATGCCGACCGTAGTTTTTGCATGTTTTTCTATGCGGCTGTTGCGTTTTAAAAATATTTTGACTATTTTGATTTTGATTCAGTTAACACGTTCGATTCGTTGCGTAAAGGTCAGTGCTCGGGTCAGTGTGTGTGATTAGAGAGATTGGGTAGTGTTATTTTTTTGTTTTCCGCGGGAAACTTAAATATTTGATTTAATAAATATGCCCAGAAGAAAATGCGAGGCATTTGATTTTTTTTTATAAAAAGTTTTTTGTTAAGTTACCTAAATTCTTACATGATGTTTCCACATCACGATACTTATGTACTTTGTATGCTACTTAAGATGTTACTTAAAGTTTTGCTATTTTTTACTTAATAAAGTTTTTTTTAGGTTAGAAGTAATTATTGTATTATTTACAACCCAGAATATTAATACAGTGTCATTTTTCTTAAGAAGCGTTAGGAGAATTTTGAGCATTTTTAGCATTTTGAGAATTTTGAGCATTTTCGGAAAAAACAGGAAAAGTAAGTTTTTGAATATCTACTTTATCACACCCCAAACATAAATTCTCGGGTTTTTTTCGTTTATGCTCGTTTATTCTCGTTCATGCTCGTTTGTGCTCGGGAAACGTTCTTCTAAAATACGTGCTCGAGAATTTTACATCACTAATTATTATTATTATTATTAACCTTTAAGTAGACGCGTTGTCGGTATGACGTTACTTCTGGCGTGGGGCCATATAGCCCCAAGGAATAAAAATGGGTATTTTTCCATTTTTTTTTATCAAAAAAATTAATAAAGCATTGTGTTATCAGTTTAAGATAATTTTATTATAAAATACAGAAAGGAAAAACAAACTTTTTGACAAAATTAACATATAAAAGATTTTAGTTTTCGTAGCACTCGGCACAAAGATTTCTCTGGTGATCTTGGCATACATGCTTATGCAAGTTACTCTGCTTGCATAAACATGTATGCAATAGCACCTTTTCTTAGATTTCGGCCCTGGATCCTCAGGTTTATTGACTACTTCTCCTTCAAAACCGTTTTCTAATGGCCCCAATGTATCAGCTGTAGAAAAATCAGTGTTTAGGGAATACATTTTTTGTGGGTGTATAAAGCTCTCAGACCTTCATTTGATGAATAATTCAGGGACAGAATTTAAAAAAAGCAGTAAAGATGATATAGGACTTCAAAGTGCGGCTGGGGCCATATGGCCCCACGCGACTACTTAAAGGTTAATTGATTTCGACGTTTCGCATAGGATTACCACTTTAAAGTTAACTATTACTTAATTACCTTCCTCCAAAGCACACATGTTTACATACAGTCGCCATTGTGGGAAAATAAATGTATAGTTTTGAACAAATAATTTTGGTTAGTACCGCACCAAGTTTAACACGTTAATAGATAATCATTGGTTTCAGCTGACCAGAAATAATAAAGAAATTATTTAAGGCCTCTAGATCGGCCAAATTTACAAAATTTTATTACCATATATTTCAACGAAGCGTGCTTATTTTTCGAACTGACACCCATGTTTGGGTTACCATGCAGCTAAAGTAATTTTATTATTACTTAAGCTATTTTTCAATATAAACATAAAATCTTACCCTAAATAGGAATCAGGTTCCAGTTTCATACCCTGTTGTAGATTGCCTGCCAATTGGTCCGGCGAATAGTTACCCGCCATTTCAGGGCTGTAGTTCTGATTTGGGAACGGCGAAATCCAGTCCGGTTCGACGCCTAAAGCCGGGATTGGCGACAGTCTTCCACACGATGAAGTGTTTGAAGATGCTCTTGGTCTAAAGTCTGGACTCAGTTGAAAACCGCCACTGCTAAAATTTGAAAATTTATATAACATTAGTATACCTACATATAGTATTACCTTCCTAGCGAACAGAGGGTTTCGCAAAAAAAATACATTCGGAAAAAAAATCCGGTTAAAAAAATAAAATTTGTTCAAATAAAAATTACTTTGTTCACGAGGTACATACCTATTGTAATTAGAAACATCACATCAAAATTTCAGATTTTTACCCAGTACCTACATACGAGCCCTGTCTCAGTGAAGTTGGCCCAACCACTCAAAATATAAAATTTGTAATTTTATGCGATGAAAAGCCAACAATTTTTTATCATATGTCTTGGTCAATCTTCATGTTGTAAATTTTTTTTAAAAATATGTGTATGTAGGTATATTATTTAGTTTTAAGTTGAATGTTTGGTTACAATACAAAAAAATCGACAAAAATGCATTAACTTGGATGGCCAGATTTTTTAATGCAAGTCGGCTGTGCTAAAAGTAAAGATAATATTTGACATTTAAATAATTGTAAGCAAGTCGATATGACATTCCAGTAAGTATATATTTATGCTTTCGGTGTGGTTGACAAATAATAATGTCCCGAGCAAAAGCTGTTTCTGAAGAAATAAGAAAAGTGATAATTCACTTGCATTTAAAAAGAAAATCCGCTGCACAAATCGCTGAAACTGTTAATTTATCACGATATACAGTGCGAAATATTATAAAACTGCACAAAACTACAGGATCTATGGCACAGAAACCAAAAAATGGAAGTCGTCCTCACTATTCTGATAAAAATTTAAGGGCTTTAAGAAGAATTATTGTTCAAAATCGTAGGGCTAATTACTGTGAATTAAAAGTTTTGTGGAATCAGGCAACGAGTAAATGTTTTTCAAGAGCAACCTGTCATAGAGCTGCTCAAAAACTTGGGTTTAAAACTTACAAGGTTTGCTTATAATGTATACGATTTTTTTTATTTTTAATTTTACTATCTGTAGGCAAAGGAAAAACCTTTGAGTATGAGTATGAGTATAAGAGACGTATAACCAGCCCCATTTCCTCTTGACTCTCGAACCCCGTACAGGCCTATGTTTACTTACGCCGATTTTTGTTCTTCCCCAGCAACTGCACGGCTTCACCCGTGTTTGCTGGGTGCGAATGTCCATTGCGTTACGTACTGTCCCCTATTTGGGGCTCGAGAGCGAGAGGCGAATAGTTATAATAGCCATTCCCGGGTTCGCCGAGCCTATGCTATACGCTCGGTGGGGTATGGATGAGGGACGGGAGGGAGTTGGTTTTTGGGGGACAATTACGCCGACTTAAAACTAAGTACGACGCGGAATCCCCCTAGACCAGTCGATTAGTATTACTCCAAACATTTGGGATCACTATTTGGAGTTGGGGAGTTGTTATTTCGCTGCAGGGGTGTAGTTTCCTAGTCGATGTCTTTGTCTTGTTCGTTATTGTCATTGTCCGTGTCCTGGTCAGATAGTTCCTGCCCTTGGTAAAGTGTGTCAGTTGTTTTTAATAATTTTTGTCCCAAGCACGTTTTGTGGTAGAGTTCCGTCTTTGTTTATCAAATTCCAAAGCATTGCATTTATTCACTAGTCAAACAAATCACAAGCGCGATTATTCTGTTGTCTAATGTTTACAAACTCGAGTTTGGCTATTAGGCCCTTTTTTTTAATGTGTTAGAATTTTGTTCAATGTTAGTTTACTCTGTCAGTCCAGTGTTTATTTTCCGGCTCGATTGGGACCGCCTTACGCATTTGCTGTTGACAGACTTATTGCCCCACGCTGCGTGCCCTTCTTAGGTTTTAAAGATATCCCAATAAACACTTTAACGATACCTATCACCACTAACATTGCCCGTGTAAGAATTTTTAACACTTTTTAATACAATTTTGCAATGATAGTAATTAAAAACAAAACAATTGTTTAAAGAGTAAAATATGTTCTTAACATAATCATATTTTAAAGTCATTTTAACATTTTCAAGTAAAATAAATGTTATGTTTAATGAAATGAATACGGGCAATGTTAATGGTGACAAATAACGGAAAATGCTTGCTGGGATCTGCCGTATTTATATTGCAGATTTGTATCAGGTCATGCATACTCTTAAAGTAAAACTTATCAGATTTTTCCCCTTGCGGATGGCCACCTCCCCTCTTCTCCGACCTCCCCCGTCCGTCCAGTGAAAAGCCTCCAATGACATTCATATCACCCAACAGTCACCCAACACTCCACTCCTCAATGACCGTTACACCATTTTAGCTTGCACTCCATGAAAATGTTTGTGTCACTTATCAGTTCGCACCCCTTTTTTTTTTTTTTTTGTAGGCAAAGGAAAAACCTTTATTGACAAAAAACAGAAGAAAAATAGACTTCTCTGGGCAAAAGAGCACAGGGCTTGGTGTCAAAATCAATGGGATTCAATTAGATGGAGTGACGAACCTTTATTGACAAAAAACAGAAGAAAAATAAACTTCTCTGGGCAAAAGAGCACAGGGCTTGGTGTCAAAATCAATGGGATTCAATTAGATGGAGTGACGAAGCTAGATTTAGCTAGCTAATTCAAAATTAAAGTAGTAGCAACTCTTTCATAAAGGCAAAGCACCAAGTTTTATAACCTTAGAAGTAGGTACATTGAGCCAAAATACCCAGAATGTTATTTTCTTTATTTTAAAAATATATTTGTAGACATTTTCCAGATTAGCATTTTCAAGTTTTTTTTAAAGCCTTCAGCGAATTAGTAATTTTAGATAAAGAAAGATGAAAAAGTCGTTCCTACATGTTAAATGGATAGGAAGCTTTATCATAAAGTTTCTTTGAATATTTTGCTCGAAAAATTCGGTCACAGTAATAGAACAAACCCAGATAGCACCATTCGTCCAATGGACGTGCGTTTAAGATCCATTTTAAGTACTAAAAATGGATGTACTATGTACGTCCATATATTTATATCCTTTGTACGATTTTAATGGACGTCCATATAGTGTCCATTTTACGTCCATAATTATTATTAAAGAAATGCAAGTTAAAACGTATTGTTGGCTGCATAACAACAGTTATGATCAATCTCACTGACATTCAAGCAAGCGCGTGCTATAAAGGACTTAAGCTATCAATGAAATGTTAAACACTTGTAGTATTACAAATGTAATGTTCCTGAGTCGAATACAAGGATTTCCTGCAATGTTCAACATTGAATGTTGTAACTTTTAACAGTCGCAAAAAACAGTTAAGCAGGTCCTGGATGCTGGAGGAATGGTTCAAACACCTTATAGACGTCCATCGGTGGACGACTTATGGATGTCTAAAGTTGTAACATCTGGACTCTAAACGGATGTCCATGGCCCATGGGACCATGGGACGTACATAGAAAAAAAATGGACATCCTATGTACATACAGACGTCCACGAGCATACGTCCATTGGACGTCCATAGTATACCTTTGTGCTATCTGGGAAATAGCTCATAGGAAGAAGCCGTGCGACGATGATTTCGTATAAACCTTTGGCAGAGGGCTCTCAAACTTAAGAATATATATATATATATATATATATATTTGGGCTGGAAAACAATAAGGGTTTTTGCTGATTATTTTAGATTAGATTATTTTAAAAGTATCGAATGTTTTGATGCGTTTTTTTTTTAAATCACCTTTTTTATAGTTTGCGAAGAGCAACATTATCGGGGACCGCTCAACTGAATAAAAAAAAACATTAGTATACCTAGAGATGTAAAAAAACGGTCTTTTTTCAGATGTGAAAAAAACCTAGAAATAAAACGGTTTTTTTTTGTTTTTTTTCAAAATAAAATTTTGAGTAAAATGTAGAATATATTACATTTTTCATTGTCATAATCAAAGCATATTTTAATAGAAGGCTAGAAAAAGTTTTACTTAGTTACGAACTGACAACTGATATTTATTATTACAAGAGAAACATAATATTGGCGACGAGGATTTGAGCGAACAAAAAGATAAACGGTGTAAAACAAGCCGCAAATTGTTTACGATAATAAGCACCCGACGTTCGATGTAGACAAACCAGTGCAATGGGACCGTTGGATCGAATCTCTAGAAACATCATTCGGAGACACGGACGAAGATACAATAAAAAAGAAGGTACTGCTACACAACAACGGAGACGCACGTTTCTTCGACCTCATCGCAGACCTTTTCAAGTGCAAGGACAAAACATTACAAGAGGCAACTTTCGACGAGATAAAGGTGGCATTAAAAAGTTATTTTTCGCCTAAAATCAGTGCAGCTGCTGCGTACGCAAAATTCATCAACATAAAGCAACTCAATATTCTTCAAAATGTAGCAAGACTCCGCGCTGCTGCCGCCATGTGCGAATTCAAGGCTCCTGCATTGGACTCAATGGGGACAAAAACAATTGGTGAGAAACTTTTACTCTGGCAATTTATTTACGGCCTAGCAAACCCTCAAGTTCAGCAGTCACTGCTCCACTCGGAAGATAAGCTCATTTTTCAGACAGCCATCGAGCGAGCTACTACAGCCGAGTACACTGCTAACAATATTCTTGCTATGACTCGCACCGAATATTTTCCCCAAGTCTCAGTTTATGCTACTCATACGATGCAAACCAATCCTGTTTATTACATTCCAACACACGCACAAGCTCGACAACACCAGCAACCAACTGCCCCACCACCTCATAAGCAATATCAGCAACAACGAACGCAGCGCCAAGGATGCTACCGCTGCAATGCATCCCATCACTCCTCCAAATGCACTGTCGATGTATCAACCCTATTCTGCAAAAAATGCAATTCTGAGGGACACAACGACGCTGCATGCATCTCAAATCAGCTCCTTACTTTCCGCAATCAAACGGACTCGCAGAACGTCACGT